GCAAAAAAATACAAACTGAATTCAGCGTAAGGTTATCCAGAGCTTGGATCGACAATGAAGCCGGGTTCCAACAAAACACAAGTCCATGTAGAACAATTAAAAGTACAATGCTGAGATGAATCAAGAAAGTGAGCTGTTTGCAGTATTACTACAATGACGATCCAGATAAAGTTGTTTTTTGTTTCCTAAAACCATATTCATAGTAAGTATTGTTCTGTAATGCCATTAATCCTTTACTGTCTGATCACACGCACCCAGTCAACAAGATACAATATCCTCTGATTCAAAGATTTTCAGATGTCATTGAATTATGTTACTCCGGATGTTAAAGTTGACAACCAGTCTTCTGATTTCTTTAACGCTTAAAATGACCGAAAATAGAACATGAGTCAAGAGGTGTACTTGTGGGTTTTTCACTTACCAAAGTTTACTTTTCTTGTGTTACTTTCCTTGATGAAGAGCACATCTCCACCTTCTTGCTACTACCCGACCTGGCTCCCTCTGCGCTTTCCCAGTTTGCCTTTGATTACTTTCAGTAACAGATTCCAATCACTGAATTTTACTTGCTACATGTCCACTGAGGATTTTGTTTACAACTTACTTTGACATTTTTTTCTTGTGTATCTTCAACACAAGCGCTGCATTTAATGTATTGGGAATGGATTCTAATTGACTGCATTCTATATTTTCTTAATATGAAATGTTGTTTGGTTTAAGTACAACACAATAGCTGCCTTTTTGTGTATGTGGTTAGTGGTTCAAACTGCTGAACTATTACATGCAAGAACTATATATATGTGGAGTCCTGTAGCTCAGTGGTTGAGCACTCGCTTTGCAAGCTAGAGACCTGAGTTCAATTCCAGGCAGGGCGAAACCTTGGGCAAGTTTCCTTGCTCCACACGCCTAATAATAATCCCTCCAAAACCAAAAACAATAATAAATTGGTCATTTTCAATCCATGACTGTTTGTGGGACATTGCTGTGCGCAATTGGCTGCTGCGTTCGCCCACAAATATACAGTCAATTCACTTTACAGTGTGTTCTGTGAAGCGCTTTGGGACGTCCTCCCGACGTGAAAAGCGCTATATCAAATGCAAGAATTATTATTATTATATCAGTGATAAGCTTCAATTGGTAGTTACGCTCGAGTCAGCATCAATTCAATGCAGTTTCTCAAATAAAGCAGCTCTGGAAATGCAATGTACATGTGGTTTCAGAAAGACGCCTTGAATCGACTCCAGATATTTTTCCCAGTATCTTGCATACCCTTTAATTCGACTAAATTAATAATATTAATGATCCTTGCATCTGATAAAGCGCTTATCATGTTGTTGAAATGTCTCAAAGCGCTTCACAGAATATATTGCACAGTGAATTGACTGTATTGGGATATTGGGAAAATTGCAGCCAAGAAATAGTCAGAGCTTTCCTGCATTTCAAGCAGAAAATGCATCAGTATATTGTGACTCAATTGCACCACCTAGTGATGAACACTAAACGGAGAATCTGACTGAAACAAAACCTTTTTTTATTCTGATCAAATTTAACAGTAAACACACTTATCTTTGTAAAAATGGACTGCAATAGTTTGGAAGAAAAATATGTGGGATTTTAATATAATGGATATACATAGTGTGATCATGGCTTATGTTGAGCTTTGGTTTCCTAATAATGAAAATTCAATGCATATATGAACAATCAATGTGACCAGACCACAAAAAAATTCTCTAGTTAAAAACAGGTGTCTATTGCACATTTTAGGAATGTCCACACAGTCAATGACTAACTATCAAACTCTACACCTTATCTTATCCCAGAGCAAGGAATTCAATATCTTCCACGCTCGGTGATACCAGCCGAACAGCTGCTCTTTCCTGGGATAAGGGCCGATCGGCAACTCAGCAGTAGTTTAGTTTTAATGCTACTGTGGCATTGCTATTAATATCAGGCCCAGTTACTGCCAGCAGTGAAATCAAGGCTGAAAATCAATGAACCTCTAAGCAGATGTTTCAAGCTTGAATTTTTTTAAATCTAAAAATCACAATTGACTTTGTTTTTCCCCCCAAAAAAGTATACTCAGCCTAGGACTAGAAAAATGAGAGGATGATTCTATTCGCCAGTTAGGATGCTGCACCCAGTGGAGTCCCCACTCTCAATTCAAAAACTTGGCAGAATAATTTAGCAGTGACTGTCATATGGAGGTTGGTGAATGCTTCTGATTCACCATCTAGAGCAATTATATATTCTGTGAGGTAAATTTATTATCTTGGGTCACCGGCCTGAAATGGTATCACTACCGCTAACTGACAGGTTGAAGTTAAGAGAAAAATAATCTGGGTAATTGGAAAAGAAATCCTGGATGCATTACAGAATATTAATGGGCAGTAACTCAATCTTGGTGACGAATCATCCATTTAAATTCTGTTCTCAGTTTACGACACTCAAAACCTTCTATTGGTTTACAGACCAGCCATCTACTTCCACTCCTGTAGTATCATCCATGTGTGTTGCTCAGCTTCTACTATTAAAAGATCTGTGTGTGAACTACACACTAGGCATAAAGCGCATGCCAGCCAAACATAAACAGACTGCTTCAAAACGAATCCGCTTCAAAACAGTGGGTAAAAATGTGAGACAATGCAATTCGCATTTTTTTTAAACAAAAGGGATAGTCGGGTTTCAGGGGAACCAATGAAATGAAATTATGCCTGGTTGCCCTGAAAAATATTCAGTTGAAATATGTAAATATTTTGAGCAGGGTTCAACTGAATATTATTATAATCTTTGCATTTGATTAAGAAATGCCAATGATGGTTATTGAAGTGTTTCAAAGCAGGATTTACTGGAGTGTAGTGACTGTATATTTTGTAGGTGAACTCAGCAGCCATTTACACAGCAACATCCCTCAAACTTGAAATAAATTACCTATTTTATCAGAGGCAAATGTAAAGATTATATTCAGTTGAATCCTGCTCAAAACAGGAGGCCCCAAAGCTCTGGAACTCTCTCCCTCAATCCCTCCACCTCACCCCCTCCCTCCCCACTTTAAAATCCTGACTAAACACCTCCCTTTATGATCGTGCTTACGGTCACCGCCCTGCTCCCTCTCCTCCTGGCTCGGGGTCAGACTCTGCCACTGTCAAGCTCTCCCAGGACGCTACCCTGTGTGAAGGGCGCTATATTAATGCAAGTTGTTGTTGTTGAAGGGTTTGCTGGCCAGCACACTGAAAGAAACTCCTTTATATCGAAAAGGGAAACCTTATTACACCAAGTAACATGCACGATTAGTATCATGCTGAACAGCTATAAGTACTTTGGTTTGTAAAAGCTGTTATAAACTATATTCAGCTTGATTATAACCTACTCAAATGAAAAACATGGAGTAAGCCTCTTCACTTAACACTACCATTGGCTTCTTCCTTGTATTCAATCTAAGAAATGTACTTCACACCGAAGCACACACACACACACCCTTATTACATCAGTTAATGCACAAGACTCATTTTACTGAACAGCATGAATAGAGTGCACTCTGCAGAAAAGCTCGACTGTCACACCAGATGGGTGAAACTAAAAATTAATTGGTAACAACTTCAATCCATTTTTGATTGCATACTTAATTACGCTTTAACCCTCTAAAGACTGCAATAGCAATTCTGCAGATATTCATAAGCAAGAAAACATTTTTTTTAAAAAATGTCATGGATTGTAAACTGTTCATTAAATTTCTCCTGTGCAGTTCTGCAGAATTCATTAGAAACTTACCTTTGCAGCTGTAAATCAAATTCCAGCTTTCAGTACTTCTAGAACTAATCTTCTGCAGATGGATTACAAATATTTCCTGATCATTCTAATCAGAACACATGCTGATATTGTCCTAATATTTTTATCCTGCGAGGTATTTACTGTGACAACGCACATGTCAAGGTATGAACTGTTCAAATATTTAAATGGAATTACAATATTCAACAGCAGTATTCACTAAATGCAAACATCCTCAAGGAAGTTGAAAATTAAATATACTCAGGATGCAATCCTACATAATACTAACTGAATGTGTTTGTAATTTTGAAAACACCACTTGTTTGAAAACCATTTGGGCAAATCTTATCTATTTGTAATGTTGAAAAGTGAGAATCAGATAAACTGGAAAATAAAATCTTTCCTAATGCAAGTTATTCTTAGAATTGGCAAAAATGCTGTTTTTATAAAGTTAATTTTGTTGCAGGACTGTTACTATAATCCTTATATTTATTGTCGACTGAAAGTATTGGTACAATCCTGAACTGATTTAGATAGTCCCCAGTGAGTGAGTAACTCATTAATCAACATTATAGAGGAAACATTTCTTCAATATTGTTGAAATGAAGCAAACTGCAGCTGGTTGCTATATAAACAAACATACATATGGATTACGTAGTCTTAACAATCTCAATTACTGTTAGTCTCAGCACATTTAATGTTGAAATTCACATTTTGAAAATACCAACACAAGTTCAACAGGATTCCTGCTGCTCAACACTATTCTGTGACACATTGAGAAGTGTCCGCACAGACAGCAGATGAGGACAGAATTGGACTCGTGGTCAAATAGCCTGCTGACCTTGTCTCGGAACAATTGACAAAAAGTAAAGAAAATGAGGATTTTTTTTAAAAAAAGCTGTATAGTTTTGAAATGATACATTTCAAATCACCAGTTCATGGTGATGTTTATGTTGACAAAATGTTTAGTCAGAGTAACTGAATAGCAAGAACTATATTCAACAATTAAACAAAACACTCATTTTGTTTGGATTGCCTGAATTGTTCCAATTAGTCTAATAAGGGAAATAGCTGAAAACTGCAATTTCAACACAAATCAGCTCAGCGGTGAGAATTCGGCACAGCAGGTTTTAATTGTTTTTTTTAAATTCTCATTTAACAATAATAATTTTGTCAAAATCTTAACCCCATTGATAAAAAAAAGCTTGCTTCAAAGAATATAAATAAAAAAACTGACATCTTTTGCAACATTTTAATTGCTTTTGTTTACATATGCATTAAACAAGCTGTTCTCTCGCAGGTTTTTGCACAGTATATGCTTTTGATATTGGACACATTGCTCACAGAAAAAGTACCTTGATCTGCAAAACATCTGCTCTTCCATCATATATCATTACAGACCTCTTTGATTTTCCACTGAGAAAATGGTTTGCACCTGTCACTGCTTTCTGGAGTATATTAACAACATAACATTAGCACTTAATATTTTTTTCCCGGTAAACAATACTACAAGATGTTGAATGATCTGTACATTCCTTGCCAAACAAAATATTTTGTACCTTTTATCATTTGACTTGGGCAGGATTCTTTGGGAAGCAGCATCACCATGATATAAATGCCCAAACTGGCGCTGTGATTTTTTTTATATAAACAGTTTAATTGTCTTTTACAATATCCAATATTTCTTTAGCTAAAGTTAATTTAGTATTTCATGCCCCGATCTGTTCTTAAAAGAAACGTGAGTTAATTTTTAATTTTGTTTGAATAGACCTCATTTGTGCAAGTCCGTCCATAATGACAGTTTCAAAAAGGAGCAAATTACGCTCAATTTCTCACGGCCAGGTGAATACAGACAATTCAAGGTTTGTTAGGAGTGGTTCATGTGCAATGGAGCAACATTTGCTTTAAGCCTTAAGATTGCATGATACGTTCAAATGCTTGGTTATATTCTCGATTCTGTCGAAGCCATCTTTCTTCTGAAAAGTAATAACAGGGCACAGCTTTATCTTGTTTTTGTTAGAAATACAGCAAATATAATTTAGAGAAAATAAACTTGTTTTGATAATACAATTGATTTGATTTGAATGTAATGAAGCTTTTCATTTTAAACATTTTATTCTGAACCCCTAGGTATTTGTCTCACTTGTGCTACATTTTAGAGTTTGAGCGTCAGGGTTTGTCATTTCGGATTCCTGATTCATTTCATTCATATCCAATGATTGAGTAGTTTCTATCACTTTGTCACCACCTCCAATGGGCTCAGCGTTTTCATTTATACTCTCTTTTACCGACTCTTCCGTTTTAGTCGAGGATCCAAAACCAGCATCTCCCTGTTGTGTACCATCACTGTCATAGATAATCTCTTCAGGATTTGGGGCAGGGGGGCAGAACTCTTCCTCGGGAAACAGCTGTTTAAAGATGGCCTCAGCCTATTAAAGAGAGAAAGTCAAATGGTATTCTGTAAACAATAATCCAAACTCCAATGAACAAAACTGAATTCAGTAAACCAATGCAAATTTTAAGAAACAATAGGCTAGGTGTTAGGCACAATGTATCAGATAAACATTCCAACAATTCCAAATAATAGATAATAGCAACCCAGGGATCCAAATTTGAAGAATAATTGCAGTCCACCAGTTTTTAGTAAGAATGTCCTAAAATTGTAAGACAAAGATTTCAGGTCTCTTGAAAGGAGTTCTGGCTGGTAGGCATCTCCCACTACTATTTGATGAGATCTGTCTAATAATTTGATGGTTTACAGTTACAGATATTGAACTGTTCTATTTATTATGACTCTTGTGTGACATAAATAAGGTCAATTACATTGATAGTGTATTAATCAAAAACCTAAGATTAATGATACTTCTGAAACTCAGAATTTAAGTCTTATGTCTCTTTTGTGCTGATATTGAAAACTAATGCCATAGTTGTACTTCTGGAAATGATGCATATGCCAGTAAGAAATCAATTTGCCTGCTTGGACCAAAATAGTTTGTATACATTCATTGGATCTGTGTATATGCAGACTCAGCTACTTTTGTGATGATGATGTAAGCATATTAGATTATGCTTGGAAATCCCAAAACACTTTGAAACAAGGCAATCTTTTGCCCTTGTTTTTCTTTTGTAGATAGGAATTAAAATGTTACTCTTGTTTTCAATTTATAAAATGCTGTATATATATATACATATATATAATATATATGTGCCATGAGAGACAGGGGAAGCAGATTCAGAATTAACGCTGCACAGTCTGAATGTACAGTAGTGCAAATAAGATTCTTTCCATAGCGATATTCTAACAGGTCTTTGCTGAACCCTTGCCAGCTGACCTGAAATATGAATAGATTTCATATTTTATGTCTGAAATTGCTGTTATATTCCACTTTTATAATTTCCACCATTTTTGGTCCAAATAGAACTTTTATATTCAAATTTAGCACAATGTGTTTCAAACAGGTGGTACCAGTTCAGTATTAATGGAACACACTAGCCTTTAAGAAGGAACAGTTCATACAACAATGAAGATCCTCAAGTTTGGCAGGTTCAAGAAACTTTTAAAAAATCTTTGATATAAAAACTGCTCAAAGTATTCTAAATACTATCAATGGAAACCAATGCAATTTTATTTTTACTGAATAATCACCGACACCAACAATGGTATCTATAGCACATCTGTAGAGCTTTCTAATCCAATTCTCACTGTACCTGCTTAACAGAATGTTCAAATCCGAGAGCTGGATCAGGTCCAGAGCAGATGTACACATTACTCGGCAAGCCTTCATATGCACTTCTGTCAATGGCTGATGAATCTCTCACATTGAAATACAAAGCCCAAAGCACTTTCGGTTTCTCGTCTTCTTCATCAGAACAGGCTGAAAGTAAGAGAAGAACAAGTGATCAGATCTGCAGTCATCTGCTCAGAAACTTGTACAGTGCACATTACGAATTTCACAATATTCAATGGGCCACTTAATTTACCAAATTTGTTACGACAGGATTACGTCTGGAATTAAGATGACCTGGAGGCAGGAGTAACTGCCCCTCATTCTTGAAATTACTGCATCAGATACAGGTGCAGTGATTGAAACAGCTGCTGTAGGAATTGCATTATATTGCAACACTGATGTCGTTAACAAGGAAAAATGACTGAAAAACTCAAATGTTACACTACAAAAAACACTCACACCTGATGTTACTTCTACCTTAATATTAGCAATTTTCATTACAACCAATGCACACTTACCAGTGAAAAATAATCTGAATTCCCTGAGTATTGCAGGAGTTGCAACCATGAACAGACATTGTTCATGAACATTTACCATGTCTTTCCACCTAAAAAAACAACCTATGTGAATCATAAAATAAGATATCTGCAAGTGTTAATTGGTGCAGATAGGATACGGGAATTTGTAACTATCAGCAAAAGTAGTCGAACATCCAGAACAATGTATTGTTTATTTTAAATTATTTCTGTCTTGCAAATTTATCTTTACGATGCGCTGTATTTCTGTACAGTACAAGTGAAGGGACACTGTTGTCAACAATATACTACATTTATTACAAATTCAAGAGTGTACTAGAAAGTAGCCCAAATGTGGTCCTGCTAATTTATACTATTATAACTAAGGCTTTGTAAAGTAGTGCTGCATCTAGTATAGAATTCTTATGGTTTAGTAGAAACTTGAGGTAAAGGTAGCTGACTATTCTTGTGTCATTATTTAGATTCAATTTATCCCTGATCCCGATTAACCCCAACAACCATCATAACCTTTCCTCACAAGACACTAAGTTGATGATAAACAATTTCCATTTCTGTCCATTTACTTTATCAAGCTGGCACCAATGGTAGCACAGTAAATAATCCATCAAAATACCATTTATATGGGCACCTCCACATGACCCACAGCAACAAACAGAAGAACCAATGCCATTGGAGCCCACCACTACTGGACTGACTGGGTCAGCTCACCTGTACAAGCTAGCAAAGTGGTTTATATATTTGCAAGTCTCTACGGAAACCTCATTCAGGCACTGCCTGAAACAAAGTCATGAATCCCGACTTAAAACTGTACGTGTGGATTTTCTGTTACAGCCACTGGGCAAGTTTTTGTTATGTAACTGATGTGTTCCACAGCACAAGCAGCATGGCAATATAAAACACCAATATTTTGTCAAATACTTACCTCCGACCTCAGTTAATCATCTGATGAAATTTGCCGTTTCAGATTCAGGATCAAATTTGTACTGTCTAACTAGCTATTCCTTCTGCTCCTAAGCTTTAACAGTATCAAACACATTCAAACTCACCCTCAGCTTTCAACAGCCATGAATCCAGCTTTGGTCTTTTTGACCTATTTTCTTGGATAATAATTTATCTTGAAACTGCTAAGTCATGCGTTCCTAGTCCTTTGCTGTGGAAGATTAAATTTGATTGAGAAGCTGCAAGGGGGCATCCAATTGAATGTAATTCTCTTCTGACCTAAACTGATTTGGCATAGAAGGTACAATTTGCAAGAGAATTTTATTTACACATTGTGAAATAAACAACCTCAATAAACAGCAATGCTTTACATTGTAAATTTACAGCCTTCAAGTTCCACAATATTCCTAAATATTAAAGAAAAAGTTCATTACTTAGTATTTGTGGGGGATGGGGATAAATAAGGGGAATATATGGGGAACCCAAATGATTTGGCCACAGAGAGTCATAAGGAGCAGAAAAAAAATTAAAATAACAATGCATTAAGATTTTAACTGTAACATTTCCTGATAGGAAAAAAAGAGGAAAATCAAGCCAATAAGGTTTTAGACTTTGATTTTGCAGCATCACTTTCCCCATTGCAAAACAAAAAAGGAATGTAAGCAAGACTAGGACTATCCAACATTCTTGCCATACTGGTCAGTCAGTTGTTTATTCCGCAGGGAAAGTCTTTTGGCATCTGTCAGAGATACCATTCTCCGCTAGTAGACAGCTGGAGTTGATCAACGGTTTGTAGATGACATCCACAAAAGAAACCACAGATGCTGATGGCGTACTTTTTCCAATTTGTACACAATAGTTAAGAAGCAAATAGTGTTCTTGTTTTGGGTGAAGAAGATGGAAGTTACGACAAGCTATTTCAGAGCTAAAAGCTATAGAGGGCATGGTGTTCGGATTTCCTTCTACCAGTGTAAATTTTCCTGCTCAGTTGGAAAGTTTAACCTGCATTATTGAGTAAAGGTAGTGGGAACTCCCATAAAGGGACAGAGAAAAACAATCTCAACCATATCCTTGCCAAGCTCTAAACAAAGAACTTCATCATTTCATATTGCATGAAAGCAGTGGTCCAACTTATTCATGAAACATCATTTAGCCCTGAACCAGTAGACAGCAGACTCTAATTTTTTTCCCCCCAAATTTCAAAATTCTCCCACAACTCAACTCGTTAAATTGTGGATAAAACAATGCCAAAAGCTTATTAATTCTTACTAATTTGCTTTCTGTTTACTTTTTGTGTCAAGGGTTGGTTGTGTAACATTTTTTAGATGTCGTCTCTTAAACCATTAGAATAGTTGAACAGCTTAATAGACAATAAGGTAAAGATACACTTGCTGCAATTTCATCACAAACGTTGGGATACAGAACTGACCAGATTATATTTGTCATCTCAGTGCCAAATATATTTTTTTAAAAATCTTTCATAGCTTTTTCTCAGAAAGCTACAATAGTGTTTAAATATTACAGCCAGTTGTCCAAATGTACACATTGAAAGAAGGGGTGTATATGTTCACTACAGTTATAGTGTTAAATAGACTTCAGGTGTCTTTGCCTGTTTGACCTGCTATGGCCTAGTGCTCACCTGATCTGGTGATTCGTCCTCAATGGCTCTAATAGAATCTGTTCTGACATTTTAATTAAAATACTGCCAGTGCCACACACACTGCAATCATAGGCGGATGATAAAAAGGCCAATGTGCTAGGTGAAAACTAGTTCATCCAGCAGTTTGGAGCAGAACTGCACCTGATGGTCCTTGTTATTATCTCTGGCATGTGAACAAAAGAATTTCAATAATGCCTCAACTCATGTAATTGATAACACTGAAGTTTTTTGAAACTGTTCTTAGGAAATTTTACATCAGTTCAATCCATTATATTCATATAATGCAAATGCAATAAAGCCTAATGTGATTAAGTGATAATTATTTATGCCCAAAATCTAAAATACGATCACTTTAACCTTTCCAGTAAATGTAAACCAAAAGTACAATCTGAAGTAAATTTTATGTAGTCTGAAACACTTGTGCTTTTAACTAACAGGTGAAAAGGTAAAACTTCAATGAGCAGCTTGCAGAGCAATCTCTAACTTCTGCCATGGTTAAAAAAAATAGAGTATTTTCATGAGCCTTTAAAACCTGGATAAGTACATTTGTATATTTCCCTCAAAGCCAGTAAATTCTCAAAGCTTCAAGTCACAGAATCATAGAAATTTCAAACTACAAATATCCATTCCTGACCTCCCACTCCCATCTCCCACTGCAGCTTGACAATAATTTGAAATGGTTTACTGAATCCCCTTTAAATATTGCAATTATCAGCTTCAATAGACATTTGCAGTAATGCACTCCAACTCAATGTTGCTGAACAGCCTCCTCCTGTTCGTATGTTCCCAACAACAACAAATTGCATTTATATAGCGTTTTTAACTTGAGGAAGTTCCAAGGCGCTGCGTAATTAAGGATTTGCATCCGTGCTGGGGGCTGGAATCAAGAGCTGGGCAGTGCCTCCTGATTGGATAGGTTGGTAAGGATTTAGCAGTTCTCAGAGGTAGGGAGGAGCAAGACCGTGAAAGGCTTTAAAAGTGAGGATGAGGATCTTAACTCGATCCTCTGGGGGATAGGGAGCCAGTGAAGCCGGCGAGGATGGGTGTAATCGGCTCACAGAGCTTGGTGCAGAAGAGGACAGGAGCTGTAGCGTTCTGAATAATTTGCAGGTTGTGGAGATCTTTTGTGTACATATTTTTAAAAACGTGCATTTATGCCCTCTTGTTGCAGATTCATCAATCAGTGCAAATATTCTCTCACTATTTAGCCTCTCAACCCATTTCATAATTTTTAAGACTCCCCTTTACTCTTCACTACTCCAGTGAGAATAGCTCCAATTAGTACAACTTCAGTGTTTCTAAGCCTTATCTCATCCCTATATCCTCTTATTCTTATATCATCTGAATGAAAACATTCTGCTCCCTCTATTGTACACAGTAACCACTCTTGTCCTATTGGTTCACAATCATTCAGACGTCTTCTTGAAAAGGTGTTACATAAATGTAAATTATATTGCAATTGTATTGTATCACGTCTCCCTCCAATTAGTTCCAGCTCATTTCCAACTTCCTAGACACTGAAAATTGCAAATGGCAAAGTATTTTTAAGTTATGGACCTACCAATTTGTTTAGAAATGCACATATTTGACACACAAAGTTGTGATTTCCAACAAGTCCACTTGGGAAATAGGCTGATGAGAAATATTCCCTATTGGAATTGGTAAGAATCCAATAAAACATGTTAAGGTTAGGATGACAAATTAGTGTATAAGGACAGGCTGTTTACGCACCGGGCAGATGGATGATTCCCGCCATACTCATTTTGAGAAGCAACCTAAAGGCTGATGAGATGAAATCACTTATCACATTTGGTGAAAATCTAAGTGAAGATTTTCAAATCGTTGAAGATTTTTCACAATTCAGTGTTTAGACACAGACACATTATGCTACCATTTCACTGTAAAGTGTTAACAGACCAGAGGAAATTAAGTTCCAAAGTTTGGTTAAAACTTCATGAGACAATGTTTTATTGCAATGACCAGACAATGTTGAATGAGAGACCATAAAAGACCTTCACTTCTGACATAGTATGCAGGGATTAAAAACCATTTGTAAGATTTATTCAGTACTTACTCATTTCTTCTGTCTCATTGTAGTTCACAAATAGAGCAGTCACCACAGCTTCAAAGTCTTCTTTGGCAGTTCCAGATGAAGGGCAAGTCAGATGCACCAGGTCTATTTTTTAAAATCAAAGCTTACGGTTTTAAATTATATACTAAGTACATTTCTAAACAGGAAACACATGCTGTAATATTGATTTAATTATATCAGTTTTTGTTCTTTGAAAATGTTGACGATTCACAAACAGGAGCTTTATTCTATTTTGAATTAAAAGATTTTCCAATGACCTTGTCAAAGTGAACAGATGTTTGAAAGCGGTTTGCAAAACTATCCAAACACTCAGTATAAAATATAGGACTTAAATATCCAACTAAAAAACATTTGAGATACTGTAATTATCTAGAGAGCTTATTCATAATGTAAGAAGCTCTGTATTCACAATTTGTAGGTACTCTAGATTTTATAACATGACTAGATGTGCTTCTACAGAGTACGGACAGCACAGTTCTTCAGGAAAAGAAAAATATATATTTTTTAAAAAACTGGAGCAATTAAGATTTCTGCCCACCTTTTCTCAATTCTTAGATTGCTACCATGCAACCTCAAACTGATGAGCAGGAGAACAAGGCAAGCTACAAACATCAATGTCCATTTGTAACTGGCTGGCAGTTTATACAATTCAAAACAAGGAAATGCCTTTTGCTGTCGAGATGGAATTTATTTTCAACTCCAAAATGCTTATAAAATGATTTTTTGTTAGCCTGCCAGTGAGAATTTAACATTTACTGAGACAATTTAAAGACATCTGATTTTTACTGATCCATTTCTTAAAATTGTTTGCTGGTCTGAAATTCCTTCTGTTCAGGATTGTTGCTTTTTTCATCAAAATGAAGAAAGGTAAATCAAAATGTACTGCATCAACAGAATCTGTCTTGCTGAAAGCATCTAAGGGCCATACATTAGCTTAAAATAAAGAATTACGGCAAAAGTGAGCAGAAAATGAGTCAATTTTTCAGTTTCTAATCACCTAACAGAAACATTCACTTATCAAATATTCTTTGAAGTGGAAGAGATAGTTTTGTTGGGTCATGGTACAAAATATCATCTTTCACCAGTGACATCTAATATACTAACCCACCTTTCTTCCCAGGAAAGGGGGGTGGATGAAGAAATCTAGCTTTATTACAAAGTGCATAATATCACATAAAAACTTTACACAATTGAACAATAAATCAAAAATAACCATTACATTTTATAGTAGTTCATTCTGTCTTCACATTCTGCCCTCTGCTGCAAGCTGCCACATCAGTTTCTATTATCCAGCACGTTTTAGTCACTCAGGTATGACTGAATTAGTAACAGCTGCTAAAGCCATTTGTCACGTAATGCTCTTCTAGCAGGAAGAGCAATGATTTCAGTTCATGATTCGATCATTTAAGTCAAATTTTCAGGGCAAGTGAAAGACTTCAGTTCCAGTCAACTGGCAACTCTGATTACATGTGTGTCATCTTCAGAACACATGATCAGCGATTTGAAGAATAAGTGAATTAATCTTCAACAATCATTGGTTGGGGTGAATCACTCAGTTAAAAAATCAATTTAAATATGGAAATAATGCAGCAAACAGGATTAGATATTGATTTTAAAACCAAATAGTTATTTGTTCAAATGTGAAATCTCTCAACTTACAGGTACCCTGTGGACAGGTCATTGAAGAGGGGCAGAGCTCAATGATTCGTACTGAAGGTCGTCCTTGTTCCATTGCAGGCACGGTTAAAATGGAAATCTGTAACATCAGTGCACAGAAGTAATCATTGAGTGCACAAGGATATAAAAGATAATACAATCAAAATTCTTATGATATTTTTTATTCAGTTTCCAAAATAGTAATAACTACATTGTGACCACTGAAGTGAGTCAATATTTTGTACTTTTACTTTTCAATACTTTTATTGTATTTACATTTTGAAATACAGAAAATAAGAGCATTCTTAATTTCAAGGATCATTTTAATTTTGTGTTCAACTTCAATTCAACTCCACAGGCTTTTAGATGATAAAACTTTCCATTTATAGGAAGTGTTAAAGGCTTCAAGAATTGCCATTACCTGTTCAGAATCTGACTTAAACACAGAACCATTTGTGATGAGCACGCCTCTCGAAATCTGTCTGAAAAAGGAGTAAACACATAATGTAAATACATGACCTCAAATGTAGTGAAGCACAGTAAAAGATATTTTTTTTAAAAAAAGAATGATACCTGGTGCTTCTTATATTTCTATTTAATGGTAATATCACCATAGTACATGGCATGCATTTATCATTTAAAACACACATGCTTTGCCACTGCTAGTGAAAAGGCTAGTCAACACTGGAAATTCCCAAAAGATTTGACAATTAAAAATAGTAAATTTAAAAGTACTGTAGTACTGTGTGTAAATGAAATCCCAAAGAGATTCCCATTTATACGTACTGTGCTTCCAGTATTTCTCGGGACCCTGTGGACTGGACATTCAAGAGAGAGAGCACTGGGCCTTACAACTATTGCAAGACAATGGGAACAGCAGACATATATATAGTATCAATTGCACAAAAAAACCACTATGGCTGAGTGTTGTAATATACAATAACCTTGGCTAAGGCCAAAGTTTATTGTCATCCTTGTAACATAATCTGACCTAATTTTTAAAAAAAATACTTTCTCCCCTTTCCTTATTGCTCGTTGATTGTTCAGGTTTTATAAGAATCTCTCTTATGTTACTGCAACATTCCTAAGAAGGTTGGTCATATGCCTCCATGATCAAAAAAAAAGACATTATGACATTAATCTACATTAACCTAATTCCTGACTTATGATATTTACCTGTACTGGATGTTTTTTGTGTGTTTCTGAGGCAGATAGCTATCTTCTACAATAAAATGTTCACAGGTTATCCGATTGCCAATGCTATCAATCACAGCTTTGCATCTGCATGGTATCACAAAATAAAAGGACAAAGGTAAATTGGTTGACATTAAAATGACACAAACAACACAAAGAATTTCCTGTGGAAAAATATCCAGCCATGACACAACCTATTGCAATTGAGACTGCACTCATTTGGGAGCAAACCTAAAACATTACTATTTATAGGAATGAAGATACCAGAACTAAAATCAGAAGAAATGGTAACTGATGAATAAGACGTACAATGGAAACTTGAGAATTTGGCCTTCCAATTAACCAACAATCAAAAATGATGGATAATCGTCTTTCCCCTCACAAACTCACCTCTTGACTTTCTCTTGCCTCTAGCTTTCTTAACTTACTTTGGCCTCAGCACACTTCAGTAATTTAGCTCCAACCTGCTGGTCACTTACAGTGAAACCTTCCTTGTTTCAATTGTCTACCACACGGTTCCCGTGCATTATGGCAATTATTAAAGGTTCCACTATAACTACATAAGAAATTATTTAATATCATTGTTCTACAGTATTTAAGACCCTGCTTTCTTATAATACCTCAGCACTTTGAAACAGCAACAACAAAATTACATGTGTATAGTGCCTTTCCATCCCCCAGTGCCTTCGCCTTGCTTCCTCCCTTTCCTCCTTCAAGGCCGGTCTCAAAACCTTTCTCTTTGACCGAGCCTTCAGCTCCCCTCTCGACTCTCTTCCTCCTCCTCGCTCCCTCCCTTCCCTCCCCTCACCCTGACCATTTCCCCCCTCCTCTCTCCCTCCCTTCCCTCCCCTCACCCTGACCATTTCCCCCCTGCTCGGGTCATGACCCAACTGTGCAGCGCCTTGGGACGTCCTCCTGACGTGAAAGGCGCTCTATAAATGGAATCTTGTTGTTGTTGTTGTTGTTGTTTCACATCAGGAGGATGTCCCAACATTACAAAGTGCTTCACAAATAATTACTATCAAATATAGAGATATGTAGGCAACTGGAGTTGTCAATTCATGGCAGCAAGCTCTCATCAACAGTCATGTAAGTGAATGACCAATTGACCTGCAAGATTTGTGTGCCAGGGGAGTGGCAGAAACTCCTTTCACCTTTAAAAAAGTCAGTGAATCCACTCGAACTGGCAAAAATGCCCTTTTTTAAAAAAAAGTCTCCAAAAATGAGCATTGCAATCCATTCTCTGTAAATATACATTATATTTTTTAAAAAATCAGTATTTGAAATGCACATGTATTCATGACAGAAATCATTTATCTACTTTAACCATTGCAATTCTCTACTTGAAAACACCAAATTAGAAGCAGAGACATGAAACCTTCATTTCCTTACTTCCAGTAAAAAGATTGGTATCAGACATTGTGAGAAACATTTTCATGTTTGGAAAATGCATTTTCCTATACATGCAAGATGATCTGTGTCATCCTCAATTAGAAAATGTAAACCCCATTGTGCACTGATTCTATCAAGCTTATGATATGTGATACCCGCTGAGTATGAACCAGATAAACTATCCAACTTATGACCTTCAGAATTTGCCATACAGGACTGAGCAGACCAGTTAGTGGAACTGTTCTCCTTTGATTTCATAAGAAGCTTTACCCCCAAAATAAATAATCTTGCAACATTCATTCATATACAGAAATAGACAGATCTTTAGAACAGAACTTCAGCCTTTCCAAACCTATTTCCCACACACTCCCTCATTGGAGCTGTAAGTAGTTTACATCTCTACCAACACTGCTCATTCATCATTTCTTTTAAAAAGAGCAGATCCACACCAAACAGTTCAATGCACTAATCTTTCTACCAAATGTGCAAGTTTCTCAGATGTATATAATTATAATAGGAACAATTCCGAGCAATAGGAAAAGGCTATTCGGCCTATCTGAAATGCTCTATCATTCAGGTTCAGTTTCACAGCAATTTTTAAAAAAAAACACTTCACTGAACTGGGAATTGATCCAGTTCCTCAAGTACTATAACTTAAATTAGTATTTACGTACTTCAAAAGGAATTAATGTATTGGGAGAGAATTCAAAAAGCAGTCAAGGATGATTAGGGTTAAGGCTTATGGTTCTGGGTTATAAGAAACGTTCAAAACTAAACGGTTTTCACCAGAGAAAAGATTAGGAGTATGATCAATGTTCTCTAAAATACTGAGGTACAGATGTATGTGGAAGTCGGTGATTGGACCGGATTGAGAATGTAGAACTAAAGGGCTCAAGTTTAAAATTGACAAACCTCAAGTGAGACTAACGATCAGAATAGTGGGTATCTGGAACATACAGAAAAAGTAGTGGCTGCTGCTGTGCCAATTCACTCCTTCAGTTGAAGCTGCATAAATGTCTGTTTGGAATTATTTTTAGACACTATATGAATACATATACTATGTATAGATCAAGATTAATATTCCACAAGACATCACTGTAAATCAGTAAAAAGAAAAACTGTAAATAACCCCAAATCTGAAACAAAAGCAGAAATGCTGGAAATTCTCAACATGTCTGGGGGTCATCCTCATTGCTTCGCTATGCATCGCCTACTGGGCCTACGTCACAGTGTCCGGAACTGTATGCAGTATTCAAGGTGCAGTCTGACCAGAGCACTATACAGCTTGAGTTTGACATCTGTGGATCTAAACTCAACTGATTTAGCAACATAGCCCAGCATCCTGTTTGCATTCTTTATTGCTGCCTCATAATGTTGACATAGTAAGCAACAAGCCAACTACACCCCTAGATCTCTTCAGCTTTCCCACTGGCAAGTTCAATCCCATTCATAGAGTACTTGTGTTTCCTATTCTTGGATCCTGTATGTAGTACATTGCATTTATCAGTATTAAACTTCATTTGCCAGTTATCAGCCCACGTGTACAACCTAACAAGTTCTTTGTTCTTGAATACTGTACAAAATATTGTTGTATTGGTTTATATCAGCACCTTAAGATCATAAACATTAAAATACCAATTTCCTACAAAAGGCCTCTTTGTAAAGTGAACAGATGATAGCCTTTATCTCTCAATCCTCCAGCATCACATATCACATCTGAAGCAAATGAAAATAACAGAATAAATAGAGCAATTCATTTGTTATAACCACTCTGCACAAATAGTCTTCTTCAATCATTCCCTTATGAAGCTCCAGAGGGCAGTTATTATTCATCCCAATTGGGACACGTTCTTGCACAGCCCTGCCTAAAGTTTACTACTGTAGATAAAAGGCTTTATCTAATGGGAAGGGGTGACCCAGTTTGCTGCAATGAACTCTAAAAATTCATTAAAGTTTTTCCTTTTTGGAATGACATGCATTATCAACAGCGATTAATCTGGTGAATCTTTTGGTGAACTCAATTTATAAAATGCAACAACAGAGAGCCTTTTTGTCTTCAGATGAAAATCAATTAGTGTAGGTAAGGCCACAAGGAAAAACTAACATCACTCATCACTAGCCTCTGGCAGCTGAAATGATTTGTCTTCCAAGCTTGGGTGATCAGGAGCTGTTGTAATATCTCAGGAAAATTAATTTTGTTTCTATATTCTAGACCGAGTTTCCTTGTTTGGTGGACCTTTACACAAATAACTTTTAATCAAGGTTGATCTTTGATTAATACCACAGAAGATCTCACAAGAAGGCTCTTTTTTCATGAGACCTTTATAGTTTTCATCGACACGCTGTACGAGAGGCAGGTCATTGCCTTTGTCCTTACCTCCCAGTTTCTCTGTCGACCACCAGACACTGCACTGAATGTCGCAGACAGTATGTCCCACCAAAAACTGCACTCATCCTGCCAAACACAAAATAAAGAGCATTAAACATACTTTCAGCAAGTTAATATTTTGGCACATCAACAACAAACAACAAATTATATTTGTATTGCGCCTTTCACGTCATGAGGACATCTCAAGGCGCTATATATATTAATGCCAAAGAAAACACATAGAAAAAGCCATTAAATACTATGAAGAGAATCACAAGTAATGCAAGTTAGGTCCTGACCCTTTGAATTTGCTTCACGCAATCTATTTGAAAATGTATTTCTGTTACACTGGAATTAAAATACTTTAGCAAAAAAACTGCAACTATGGATCATCCCTTCTTCTTTCAAATAAAAGTTTACCTTCATCATTTTTGCAGCATTACAGCCGTTGTTCTACATATTTTTTTTTAAACAAATGATTTTCTTTGAGCTTCTAAAAATCCCTGGTGTCTTACACAATGTCAATGAATTATTTTCGATTCAGATAGGAATGTGTGCACTCAAGATAAAAATTAGCCGGGATAGCAATAATATTTTTCTCTGGTGCTGTTTTAAACCAGTTAAACGTGCTGTGGGTCAGCTCTGGTTGTTAATATATGAATGATTAACATATAAGGTAGTAGACAGTCGAGGCTCAGTGCCAAAATGAAAACTTGCTGTACACGGCAATGCTATTGTGTAATAAAATGGATATCTGTTCAGAAGTCATTTGTCTGAAATGTCTCATTCGTAATTCCTAATCTTAGATATAACAGTAGACCCTGGTCTTAATCAAAAAACACAGAACTCTTATTTGCATTCACCAGTGTCTTGTAACTCAAGTAAATTATGAGCAATGATGTTGAGCTTTTGGTGGATTCACTAAGGGGGTCTCATGAACTAAACTCTATATTTTCAACACAGGGTCACTCAGTGAGACATGATGAGTGTCCACAAGTGCAGCATTATGGCTTTGCACTGCCTGAGGAGTGGACCTTCCTGGTATTAATTAGAAGTTACAAGGAGCATCCGTTCCAACTGGATTTTTATCAATATTTATCTGGTGATTGTGGTGGACATCAATGTTTGCTTCCACACTGTCCTTTCGAATATATTGAAAAGGGGGAGAACACCCCTCTGGTCATTCTCATCTCTCTTCAACGATAGCACCCAATGCACATTAAGCTTTGGGAGTAAAAGGTACGTCTTATAATAGTCTCTAGATATTTCATTGCTTGAAAATAACTCTGGTATAAAAATATAATAAGTTTGAGTCAAAAGCTTGGAATCACATTGCTAAAAGATTCTGCCTTTTCATAACCATGCAGAATTGAAAGTAGTTTTATTTTTCCTTCTGAAATTCTACACCACGACTACTAAAATATATTTCAAATCGCATCCTCAAAAAATAAAACCCGATATCAAAAGAAGCAATCAGCTGGAAACTAGGGCTTGACATTTCCTCTCACGAGATCACAGGAGTAATATGGCTCAGAATGAACAATTGTGTACTGTATTTGCTGTTCCCTCACTATGACTTACAGTGTTTTGATGGTTCCTGCTCTATCGTAACTTCATTCTGAATGCAGCTCTTTTAAATTAGAATTTACACAACACTTCACAGGCTCTCAATCTGGTCTCTCTAAACTGGAAACCAGGGTTCTCTTATAACTTCATGTGTGAGAGTCGTCACTCGGCCAATAGAAAATATGGGTCTCCATGTGTGTCTCTCTCTCTCTCTCTCGCTCTCTGTGTCTGTGACTTTCTGCCTTTGAGTGTGTGTGTGTGTGTCTGTCTCTCTGTGTCTGTGAGTTGGTGTCTCTGTGTCTCTCTCTTTCTGTGAGTGTATCTTTCTGTGAGTGTGTCTGTGTGTGTATTTCTCTCTCTCTCTGCGTCTGTGTGCAGTGGCCCGGAGAGGCAGGAGGTGGTGACCTCCTGGAATCCCTCAGTCAGAACTAATTTGTCAAATTTCCCTGCAATTTTTGGCAAATATTTTCGCAATCTATTGGCCCTGCTCATCACATAGCTAGTTTTAGTTAAAAAAATCTGTGTAATGTGTAACATAATTGAACTTCAGTTATTGCAAGTATTATGTCACAGTACAAGACTTCCAAAGGTTCAACAAAGATAACCTTACCAATTGGGCTGCTCATGAGTATTTAGTTACTGATCTATTAGACCAAATGTTTGTTGGCACTGCAATATAATGTTTTAGCTACTTGAGAGAAGCTGATATTTTCTATGAGATCACTACTGACTTAGCGGTATTGAACTCACATAAATAGAAGATTTTACAATAAATAAGGGATGCACAGGTAGAAATACAGTTTCAAACGCTGATATAAGATAAATAGGTAGATATGTTTTATAGACTTTGTAGAATGACAAATAAGTTCAATTTAAACAGTTATTTTATAGTTTACATAAAGATAATTTATTTCTGCAAATATTTTGGTACAGTTGCAACTCCCTTTATAATAATATTTATTGAGTTTAGCAACAAAATAGTCTAATCTAACATAATTCTGTGAGATACCCTACCGATGTCACGCAAAAGGATTGAATACCCATTGAGGACAAATATAAATGAACTATACAATTCACAGTATGGTCAACTGCCACAAGCATAAAACAAGCACAAACCCAAGTATAAACTAGTCAAACTGAAATGACCAAAATACAAACCTGTTTGACTAGCAAAGTACATTTGACTGTAAGCACGGAGAGAAAATCTGCTTGTGTCTGACTTCAACAGAAGCAATTTGATGATGAAAACATTACATTGTAACTACGGTTGCAGAGGAGAAAAATTAAAACATTATAATTCACAGCTTCCCAGAGTCAACACCATAACCTAATTACCAGGTCAAGTTTATGGACATTTGTGTTCTGTTCAGTACAGTTAATGACTAAAAAATAGCTTATGGGTTTAGACCTCCGAAAAAGGTTTGAACTGAACCATGCAACATCATAAGAAAATAAATAAAGGCCACCCAATTACCCATTATGTTAGTAAATCAAAGAGAATTATAAACAAAAGAAAGACTATCCAAATGATTTTTAGCTGTACATGGAATTGAGATGAATCCTTTGATGTTATTAACCCTAAAAAAAGATGCTTCAACTGACATTATAGTAGCTGGCTGCTCTGTTTAGCAGGGATACGTGTTTCTTTGCTGAAAGATGATGTGAAAACGACTTGTTCTCACCTTTAACCTTGCAGTATCAAATCACATTATGACTAAATTAACAACTGCAGAAACTTCAGACCTCACGTCACACTATTCCATACAGTTTTAAATGCCATTTCAGTTCCTATCAAGCTGCAAATCAGCAGAAGCAATCTTTAACGCAGCTGCTAAACAATAAGACCCATTAATAGCTGAACTTTGACAGCACTATTCATGATGATTTATGGTTCTATGTATAATTTGATTATTCTATTAATTCTGCTGATTACTGTTTCTGCTAATATAGTGAAGGTCACTTCCAAAATAAATCTTCATTACATACTTCCATTAATAGAGAGAAAATACTGCCTCTAACTAGTTGTTTTCCTTAATTAAAAGCTAATGTAACAAGAACTATAAAATAGGCTTGAGGGCTTCCTCCGTTTTGGTTACAGAGCCACGGTGTTTTTTAAGAAAAAAAAATCAGGATAGAAAAATATTTTGTCTCAACTTATAAAAGATCAAGGGAACATAGCTGTGATAATGTTTTAGCAAAACATTTATTTTCAAATGTGAAAGCTCATAACTGGTATGTAGCTCATGAAAATTATAAATCACTGTTCCTATTTTCAGATGCACTTAAATAAAGATGTGCACCAAAACATTGACATAATTCTAAATATATGTTTTTAAAATGGTTCAATCAAGCTAAAGCCATCAATTAGCATTTTTGAAAAATCATCTCAAAAGAGGTAGAAAAAGAAATAACTAATAATATTGAGATATAAATGAATACAGGTCACCTTGTAGAGACACCCGTCATACAGTTATATACACACACACAATAATATATTAACATTCTAACTATTAAATATTGATTGTCAAAAGCATGTGTGTGCATTAAGCTTGCTAACAACTAAAAACTGTAAATTTGCTTTGCTTTTATAATTCAGCATTGGCTCACTGTTTAAAGTTATCACAAGCTTAGAATAAGCCCCGATAACTGGCAATTTCAGCAGTTTCACTATGTGGCATCATATGCATTCACATAAACTGGACACCCAAAATATGTGGTTAAACTCCAAGATCAAATTGGTCATTACAGTACTTTAAATCAAAAAAGTTCTAATCCCATTGATTTTACAGGAGATAACCAAGAAAATGTAATTAGAATTATACTCGTGTTATAGTTCAATATTTTGGAACTGGTGCGGTATTACTTTCAAATATTCACATCACACCACAAACAGTTAGGTCTTCACTTTATTCCTGATCACTGAGCATGCAAAGGAAAAAGGGAGCAGAAAGAATTGCCTACATCTAACATTTTCACTGTAAAGAAACAAGAAACTAATGAAAAATAATTTTACTGCACAATAATCCCTCATTTACAAGCTTCCCCTCTTTGACTTTATTTTATGTATCCCCAAAATGTTCATTTGCTTTTTCTTTATGCATTTTCCCAGGCAATTTGCCCTATCCACCTTGCTCTCTAATTGACAGAACCCCTCCTACTCCTATCTGATGAACCCAGCAATCTTTTACTATTTCAAAAACAATTTAAATATGCCCCAAGAATGTTTATTGTGACATTTATGAATTTGCCAGACAATTTGTCTTGTCTAACTCTCTTTCTGATCCACATTAATATTTTCTTTCTTGCCCAACTAACATCCTGTCTTACACTCTCCTGGCCTTACCCATCATTATTTCTCCAATTTCAGTGCAACATTATTGATCTCTGTGCCCTATTTTAGCTTTTACTGGATTTCCTCCTTTCCCCTTCAAATTTTGTTACTGTTCTTAGTTTTTTTCCTTTGCAGTAAGTCCACCGAATTCTGTTCTTCTTGGATGTTTAAATCTCCCCCCAGTACACTACATTTCAGCATCCATTGAGCAGGTAACACCAAATCTTGGCTCCACTTCAGCTAACCACTTACTTGTATTAGAATCCAGATTCCAAACTTTCATTACGGAAAATCTGCTTAGCATAAAACATTCTTTAAATAATAATAATCCTTGCATTTGATATAGCACCTTATCATGTCTTCGGGACTTCTCAAAGAGCTTCACAAATATACTGCAAAATAAATTTACTTTTTATTTTGTGGGCAAAATAACTACACAAATGTCACATGTTTATGGGATTACATGACTTACTGAAAAACAATGACCAACTCATATTGTGTACATTAATCGAAGTCAATCTCTTTCAATAAACACCATGCATTCCATAATTCATTGTACTGGGGCTGTAAGATTGTTTCATGTGGAAAGGAGGTCACAACATTGAGTGGTAGGTTTCCATTTGATAATCATTTCACAAAGATTATATTTAAACCCTTCCTCAACAAATTATTCATGCTTCTCTCATTCTCAACAAATTATTCATGCTTCTCTCATTACATGTTTTTCTTCTTTGACAGGTAACAGAACAAAACAAGTTACATATTTTGCATTCCAGTATGCAATTCAATAAACCAGAAATGTTTAACAAATATTCAATAACTTGCATGATGGCCATGGGCCTTGAATTAAACTGCTCAGATTTAGATGGCCTTGCAGCACAACATGAAAGTGAACCAATTGATTATACCCTTATACCACGTGGAAAACAGCACCATAAATTTACATCTCATCAAAACCATAGCAAGCACGTTGGAACATAAATGAGCTGCAATACTGGCTAATAAACGTAATTTAAAGAAAATGCAACTGGTGCAATTCTAGTGAATATGGATTTTAAAAGAAAGTTAACCAGTTAACTGGACTTTCAGATTTTCCCCGTTTCCTCCACTTCACATCTGAGGGATGGCAAAGCTGTAGCACAGTACTTCAATTCATCAAGTGACTACTGTTTTTCATTGAAATCTTCTCTAATCCACTGCTGTACAATACTGTATTTCATAAGGATTAGTAATCAGAATCTGTGTTTAGAACTTCCTCCTAAATTTGCTTAAACTTTGCCTTTTGACATACTGTATACAGCTCCTATAACTCTCCCCCAGTTTCTTTAGTAAAATGTGTAGAATGAATATACTTAGAGGACAAGCTTAATAGTGAAAGCTATTTATAAAAAGTCTATTTCTGTCAAACAGTGATAAATACAAGAACAGGCATGCATTTCGCTGTGACATTAACTACAATGATTATTGATCTGTGAATAAGTTAAATGCAAATTGTGCTATTTATCTACATTTCAATAAACAGGTACTTTAGATCGATGGTGATCTTGTTTTTTCTCCATTAGAACTTTCACTGTCTGAAATTGCAAACATTAAGTATATGCATTGAGTGGTGTTTCTCAATTAATGCTCAACATCACAAAATCCACTGACGATGGATTTTGCAACTAAAAATGTTCCACTACTTAACTATTTTAAAATAAAATTACAAATAAATGCCATCTGTCTAGCAGGACAATGTCCAAAACAATTAGCTCTCCTTCTGAACAAAGTACAGAAAGATTACAAGTAAAGCTCAATTCAATTTTAAGGCACTCTTGCCAAAACAAATACATTTCCACTACAGTAAGAAATTCAATACACTTGCAACAAACAGATGCCAAAGACCTAGATAGTGTTTGCCATGGAGAGGTTTAATACACAGAAATCTGATGTACATGTTATACTTTAAGTGTCCCAAAAGGTAACTATTCAGAGGCTTCAGAAATTGCTCATCTTGCTGTGACATTGAAGAGAACTACAGTGGTGTTCACTGCCCAGTTACCTACTAAATTACATTCATAATAGATGACAGTTCTGAACTGTTAAAATATTTATAACCAGCTAAAAACTATTAAGCTATAACAATATCAAAGACATATGGTGGTGAAGGTTCATGTAAGTCAGTTCATGTAAATCTCTGAGTAGAAGAAGAAATAATACCCAAGTTTGAAACTATGACAAGCCCCAAGTCATTTCAAAACAAATCAGTAATCAATTTCAACACAAGGCATAATTGTGGCTTGGAATATTGGAAACGGTACACAATACACATTGTTTCAGTCGGAGAAAATACAGGATCCTCACCAGATGGGCCATTTTCTAAAGCATATTAATCCATGTATCTCCAGCAGGCACTGCAACCTGCCACTGTAGCAATTGAATACATCAATGACCCAAAGGCTTTAAATAAATTACCATTATTGGTAGTATGGGACCTATGATTAATTTATTTGTTTAGGTATCCATTTGTTTTCTGATCACAGACTTAAAATCACCATGCTATACCAATGAATTTCATGGCCTGACAACTGCTCGCTTTAGATCAGATTAGCTAAGAACTTACTTCAGGCAATACATTAAGAAAATCCTACACGAAGAAGGTAAAACTTCTTCTGTTAATCAATTCACAAGATAAACTTTAGAAAAACAGAAAATATATTCCATAAATATTAATGTGCAACTTTCCAGCTTTTGAGGATACAAAAACAATTAACTCCATCCAACATGTTAGGACCTTTCTGTTCAACTCTCCCAAAATTTTATTTCTCCATTCGAAATATATAGAAATAACTTTCAACCATTTAAGAAGGTTGATGATCATTAAAAAGCCCATGACATACCTGCAAAAGCATTGTGGTATTTCTCCAACACCATACAATGGAAAAAGGAATGGTGTGTTCCCATAGCGTCCAAGGCACTGTAAGAAATGTTGAGTTGCTTTGAATCCCTCTGTGGTGCTGGCAGTGTCTGAGACCATAGCAATGGAATGCAAAATAAAATACTGTAGGTTTTCGGTTAACTTCTTGGTCTTCAGATATTCTGAAAATGCTTTGTCCTGAAAGCCTGTAAAGAATTATTTGCCTTAATTTAATTTCTAAATTTAATACCAGTTTAATGTAGCAAAAGTACCACAAATCAGTCATTACTTAAAATGTCATCAATTATCTCCCCATTTCAAGGTATTTGAATCATTTCTGCCTCCTATTGAAATATGGTTCCACCTATCTATTAATCATATTTTTAAAAAGCCAAACAATATTCCTGACAGACAAAACTAAAAAGTGATCATCTCCTACACCATGGGATTTATCATACAGGTACCTTGGAATTCATCTGTGTGTTGCTCATACTCCAAACTGAAAGTGAGAAATTTCATCAACATTCGTTTCTCCACCACTGTGAGCTGTTTGCTGGCAAATACATCTGCCCTGGAACAAGGAACCTAAGATGGAAGGGGGTGGGACAATTCTGTCATACAAATAATTAGCAAAATATTCAGCACATTTGTAACCAAAGATAAAACATTAAACATCTCACTGAACCCAACTCCTATTGTTTTGTAAATCTTACATTATGGTTTATCAAAATGACAATTACATGGGCTTCACAGTAATATGGTAGGATACAAAGCTAACCTATCATCTAAAATGAAAAACTAAACATTTGTGCAGATTTACTTTCATTGTGTTCAGCAAATACTCTTCTGTAAATTAGCTTTACTTTTTGGGCATAAGCAAAGTTTTATTCCATTCTCAGAAAAAACCAATACTCTGTCTTTACAGCTTCAGATTATTATATCTAAAGGTTGATAGGCTGACTGCTTGAATAGTCTCGTAGATTGATAGGATTGAAATATTAAATTATTCTCTCCATTTCATAGCACACATTCATTCAGCATGTTAAAGTGCAAAGATTGGAAGAAAATACGATTACTGCTATGCCATAATAAATTGTTCAGCACATTAAACCCCCAAAATGAAGGATTAAACACTTCTTTATGGTTTGGATTTTTAATTCTGGCTACTTTATTTCAACAGATTTCATTATCAAGGCAAGAAATTGTTGAATATTGTTAAAAAGATCATTGGTATCCTCCAGTTTCCAACCCCAGTGTGGAGTTATAAGTAATGCATCGTTTGATTAGAGTTCAGGTACAGGCTTGAATTCAAAACAACATTTTTATCATTTTCTCAATACCGTTTCGGACAATGACAAGATATTGTGTGGAAAACAATTTCTGTTAACCCGTTATTCAACTACTCACTGTTACAATAAATAGATCAAAGTTCGATGGATTGCAAGAAGCAACTTTAGAAACCACAACAGAATACCTGCTCAACTTTTCCTCCTTGGCAAGTAAGTATCCTGGTCACATTTTTGAATTCTGTGTAGCGGCTGACATTAGATTTGATGAGAAGATCAACCAAAGGGCCACGGGAATACAGGAACTGGAGAACATAAAATATTTAGCTAGATTTAACAAACCTTGTACTGCAAATTCATTTTTAGACTACTATAACAGTTTGACACTTAAAACAAATTACATTTGAGTTTGATAAACTTTTATAATTAATTGTGCCAATAAAATAAGACTGACATTTAACATCCAAAATGGATGCCTTGAAGACTGGACCTAAAAGTTAAGATCCTAACCATGATACTCTCATTGCCTTTATTTTAGCTCTTCACAAAGACAGTGAACTAAAAAATTGTGCTGGATTACAAATGTTTTCAGAGATGAGAACAGAATTATTTTTTTCCTAACAATGAACTCAAAGGAGCAAAGATTTCAAATTATACCGCACGAGTCTACTCAGTCATAATGCAGATAGTGATTGACCTTCTTTATCCTACACTAATACAAATATAAACCAATAAGTAATCAGCAATCTTAACTAATTCTAGACCCATTTTTGACTCATTGTTCAATCAGAAAAACCTGGTGCTAAAAATTATTCACTGACAACAGCCTTACCTTTGAAGTCAAATCAATGTTAAATTTTCTGCCATTTTTCATAATCTGGGAATAAGTCATCTTTTTCATCTCTTCCTTCACTTTTTGAGTAGCAAACATTATATTGGGTTTCTCTGCATTGTTAGCTTCATTTCCATCATCGGAAGCTGCAGTTATTGGGATTTCCTTCTTATCCACATCCATTTCACTGGTGGTGGAGGAAGAAGCAGAGGGGGCATCTTTTGTTGAGAGCTGAACGTCAGAACATTGTGTAGGAGATTCCACATCATCACTTGGTGCGGTTTTATAACTCGGACTTTCCTCGCTTTGATTCAATACCTTGTTCTCACTCTCTGCACTGGAGGTTCCGTTAGCTTGCTTCATTTGAACATCTGCTGCTTCTTCTGCATCTTCCTCTGCACTGTAAATTGAAAAAAATGGACATTAATTATAATAAGCCAAACACCATAGCAATCTCAAAGATTTGATAGTTCCTTTATTGTCATTCATGATTTCTGTGTTGGATCATGCCCCACTGTATCTTGATTGTGCATTACTTGGGAGTTTTACTATTTTTCCAATGGAGCCTGAACAATAATACTCTTAAAGTCAACAATAGAGAGAAGCTGGTATTGAAGATTCCTCATGGATAATGTGAAGGTATCTGCATTCTCTCTTCATTCATTCTTATGCGAAGCAACCTTATAGCCTTTTCAGTTCATTAGAATAATTGTTTTTTTTTGACCACTCTGTACTGCTCAAAAATGTTTTGCAGGGTCAGGATGCGGATTAAAAAATAAATTTAAAACAGTTATCTTCCATGTTGAGTACCCTGTGAGCTCTCTGCCCAAACAGGAAGATAAGATACTCAAATCATGAAACGAGGAAGATCAGTTCATGAGGGTACAGTTGTGTCAATGTACTACAGCAATTATACAGATAGCGATCTATGTCTGACAGCTCACACCTGAAGAAGTCCAATAGTTCAGTATGAAAAGCCACATCAGCACAGGAACAGTGTTATGAGGCAAAATAGTACGCCATAGGATCAGTAACAATCAGTAACAAAGTTAAAGGAAATTTTACGTTCACTGAAACAAAATGATATTTACATAATGCATCACTATGCAATATGTCCTTTTAGTGCTGAAATTCTCAAATTAAAAGCATCAATGGCCTTTATTGAAATGTAATGTTTACATTTTATACCCACCGTTACTTTACAATGGAAGAAGGTGTTAGGTAAACATGAATAAACTATAACAGCCTTCACATTCTAGCAAGAAGTCTGAATACACACCTGACATAGCAGAAAACTTCTAAATTCTCAATGGATTGATCCACTTGGTCAAGCAGAATGGTATCTTCCCCTTCCAGTATCTTGCACTGCAAGTTAACAGTCTCTAAACTGCTCGAGGTCTGACCCTGATAGTGGCATAAAATAAAAGGCAACTTCAAAATCTAAACTTAAATTTGTAAACAGTGATTGCTGAAGGAATCTAGAGTATCTGGTGTATTTTCACAGATTTTTTTCAATGTACTGATTTTACTTTTATTGTACCAAAGACTGATGATGAAAATGTCATAGAACCTTCAACTAAAATTGACCTTTTCTGGTTAGTTACACGACCGTTTCCTGAATAATAGAGGGCATGCAGGGTAACCTGTACAGCATTAATAGAGAGAAATGTGTGCCTTAATATAGATTACAAGTGGTCAGAGAATATATACAAATGTGCTGTGAACAAAAGGAAATGTTCGTTGTTAAAAAAATGTCAATTTATGGCTTAGGCACATTGCCATTATTTTTTAAAGAACCATGATTATCTAGAATGCATTCCTTCAAATAATGCCGCTGTTACATTAAATTACAATTAACCCCACTTGACTTTTTTGGAGGGTTATATGAACCCAATGAACTGTCTTATATGTATATATTTTTTACACACACGTTACTTTAAATTCAGAAATTTAATTTAAAAAATAAATTGTTTCACACAAGTCTCCGATTACACTCTGTCTTCTCTTCAGATTGGATTAAATGTTACACTTATTAAATTCTGCTTCACGAGACTCAAACATCTATTTTCAGGATGGTACACGCCCACTTACAGCAAGCACTTTGTTCATTTTGAAGGTGGGCGATAAATAGGTCATGGCCAGCGGTAATAATAAGTATCTCTATTTGTGAGACTGACCATAACTCATGAGTAATGACACTGCACCCAAGTTATTCGATCAGCTTCACTGGTGAAGACATTAATCTCATTTCACAGAACCTCCTACAGCCAATCTAAAAAGTGCCATTGGCCAAAACATGGGAGCTTTGATTCCAGCTGATTTGTTTAGTTATAGAATGGTGTGTGTTGCAAGAAGAGAACTGCTTTTGTCTGAAGAAAAAACTAGAGTTTTTAAACCATCAATGAAATCACTAAGAAACTGGTAGTAATTATTTTGTGATATTTTCCATTCTTCTTGTTCTTCTCATTCTCTTTCAAATGAAAAATATCCATATTAGTGACTGGAATATATTTACTTTTTGGAGCACCAATAGTCAGCCTCAGTTTTAACATAACCAGATACACAAAATAGTTCTGACTGTTGTCCTACTTTTGCCCAACAATGCACCCTCTAATACACCAGTATACATTTTTGATTTCTCACACCAGTAACATATTAACCCAAATTTAAAAAATCTGACATTTGCAGATGAGACAGGATCTCTCGGTGTAGAATAATGGGACCTGAACTATGCTGATCTTCACCTTTCCGAGCTTTATTCTGTGTTCTTATGAGTTCACAGAGCAAGACTTCAAAGTCAGTGCCAATTCTTGCTGAACTATGGGCAATTTTATTCTACGAGCCCATGGCCAACTGCAACTGGGTTGAAATGTAATCCAACATAATTTCATGCAGGACTGCACCATATTGATTTCCACTTTTTCGTTTGGTTTTAGGTCCCCCCCATCTATTAAGAGCCATTCTGACAGAGAAGACAGGTAGCTGACATGCTCCCAAATGGAACAGGTGACATGGAAATTCATTATACAGGGTATCAAAATCACAAAGCCATTTCTTAACCACAAAAGGTTGGTACATTATAGCCAATTATGTTACATAAACAATTCAAGAATGAAAGGGCATTGCATCCAATATAAAAATGAAAAAAAACTTTTGAAATACATTGACACATTAGATTAAAAAAATACAGAATCTGGATGTCCATGTCCAGTGATTTTGTTGCAAAGGTTTAAAAGTAGCCTTTCAGAAATCAACTATGAAAGATAATTTACACAGAGATTGATTTATATTTAAATGCTCGATTCTCATTTTTACCTTATGCGTAAAGGGTTTTAGGAATAATGTTTTAGCATAAAAAAACACGAGTAAATTCCTAAAAGCTGTCTAACAAAAGAAAAACACTCACGTTGCACTCTTCAATCCAAGAAAGTAATCCAGAAAAGCTAAAGCTGGCCCAGTTCCCTCCATAATACATCCTCCTGCATGGAAACATAAAGTCACATAACTGCAACTAACCCCTTTAGGCTACAATTTTAATTTTAAATAACTTTTTCCAAGTTAAGTGCTTCATAAAGCACACTTCTTGAGTTCTAAAAAAAATGGGCCTGGAGATGTCCTGCTTATTTCAAATGGCTTCCGCTGTACATAAACAGTATTAGGCTTATCAGTAGAATTATTTTGCTTCTGTAATTCAAGGCTATTTAGGCCAATATTTTGTAGAAGATGGCACATCAGTAATACAGGATCTGTGAGCACACAAGTTCTCCAGATTTTCAACAGACCAACTATTTATTCAGGACAACTAATATATTTCTCTTGCAGTATACAATTTATGGGGAAAAAGTGTTCTGAGAAAATAAGTTGAGGGGGGGCACATATTTTTTTTTAAAAATAGTCTAGAAATCACAATAAATCTGAAATGTCCCTGCAGCATGGCAACAGTCAAGACTTACTGGCAATGACGAAGTCATTAACAAACAAAGCACTTTAGTTTAGAACTTTGGTGACTCAGAAATGACTGTGCAGTCAAACCCAAGTAAACATGGTGTGGGAGACAGCAGTGGGGGAAACCTAAAGATGGGAAAAACATGAGAAAGTAAAATATTAAACAAGACCAAAGAATTTAGAGAAAACAGATACAGGAAAAAGGCAGAATACAAACAAGTAAGAAAAGTTGAATTGGAATGTCCTGGCCCTCTCAAAATGAATTACTTGATTATCTTCTCCCACCCTGCGCACTAATTGATGGGTTGTTATTAAACACATTGTGAGATTGAATTTATCTTCATTTTGCAATGTATTTTGCATCTGTCAAAAAATTGAAGATCAACATCTTTCACTCAAACAGAACATCTCATACAAGATGCTTTTTAGTCACATTCTTGTAGACCACCAATAGGATGCAGATTATACATACTGTACCTTTTCCTCAAACCGCTGAGGCCACGTAAAGTGTTACTTAACACTTTGATTATTAATCCAATTAAAGATTTAATGTTTTTAAAGAAGAATTTAGATAATCAAAGTATGATCGGCACTGCTCATTCAACATGTGGCCACTTTTATTTACGAAGAAACTGCAAAACATTGCTCACTTGTCAACATGAAGAACTCTCTGGCCAATTCGGGAACAAGCGGCTGCAATAATGGCCTCTTGCAGTCCTGTAACAAAACGTACACAAACTGAAAATGCAAGACACAAGGGTTCACACACTTCACTGTTTTATTGCCATACATTTTTCACTGGTGGTTTTCAATACACCTAGGAAGTTAAAAGTAAACTTTCTCTAATTATGTTGATTGAGTACTGCGCTATCTTTACGTGAGATAACAAATCAATTTCGTTAGTGTTTAGTTTAATTCCAGTTCAACTTAAAAACTGGGAAATTATGGTGAAACAGCACATTGTGATAACAGCACCCATTTAACTTACTTATTTTATACTGTATGTACCATACCTCACTTACCTCTATCGACTTCAATTGAACTGGGACAGAACTGAAATATTGTAGCAATGGGATGTCCTTTCAATTCCCTTCAGATATCAAATACATCTGTAGCTTTTTTTTGTGAAGTAAAATAAATGCTTTATGACAGGTGCTGTGGCTTTTTGAAAAACGTTCGTCAAACTTGTGGTTTTGCTGTTGAATTAATTCAGGCTAAACGTTTGCTGGCTGTATTCCCAGTGGTACTTTACCAGTTTATTTCAGCAACCCAAAGGGCTACTAAATGAAACTCAAATTTACTCAGAAATGGTAAATTTCAACAGATTACTCAGGAAAAGAACCCTAGTTTCCAATTAGTCCCTGAAATCATGCTGCTCTGTCCTGAAGAAGCTCATCTTGAAACAATGCAATTCTTCACTAAGGGAATTATTTCTGCAGCTTTTGCTTACTTAATACAGTAAATTTCTCCAATTAAAACATAACTAGAGTAATTGGCTACAAATTAATATCTGCTTATACAAAGGACAGAAAATTATTATCATCCTTATACTCTGCAGTTTTAGTTAATGTTGGAAACAAGTTCTAAAGTCCTTTCCTTTTGTTTACTCTGACAAGTCCCACCTCTTGAGACAATAAATACTGCATGAAGATAAGATTCAAAATTACATGATAAAAATCTCCAAACAGGATTTTGCTAGGGAATAGCTAGTTGCTATTTATGATTCCATTGTGTACATTGTATGATGAATCTGCAGGATACTTGATACAAGATACTTGTTTGTGTGCATTTTGAAAACATCAAAAACATGGAAGTTTGTTTAACACAGTTTCTCTGGAATGCCAAACTGGATAGGAGGATGAAAAACAAAAAAGATGTAGTTATTGAAGCAAGGGTTAAGAACAGATATAATACTGTTCAAATTTATAAAGAAGTTAAAAGATAAAAGGGAGGTTAGTTTTTTTAATTCTTATTTGGAGATATAAAGTTCATTACCACATATGTGTATTGAAGTTGAGTCCACTGTCATTTAGAGAGAATAAAGAAATAAATGAAGATGAAAGATAGAAAAGGGATTTGGAAAAAGAGCTGAGAAATGGGAATAGAGCAGAAAATTACAATGGGATCATGCATGGTGCACACGTTCGGCCAAATGAAATTTGCGCTGAAATTTCATTGATGGTATATAGTTCATACAGGTCATAAAATATTCTAAAATGTGAATATCAGTAATTTTACTCACATTTTTAATGTCACATCAAAATATTGTCAGCATAGTATGTTTGCTTAACTGTTTGTAGAAGAGTGGGCATTGCTATTAGAATGCCAAATAGAAATACAAGCACATTGAATACTGAAACATAAAGCTAGTTTTAAGTTATTTAAGCTAACTACACTTTTGCTTTTCGTGTTACATGGCCCAGGAAAGGCCAGGAGAGGTGAAAAATAAAAATACTTAAAATTCATTTGCGAAATAATTGATTGATTATTAATAACGTTGTAATAACTAAGTCAGCATCACTTATCTACGACTTATCTACGACTGTTTGTGGGACATTGCTGTGCGCAATTGGCTGCCGCGTTCACCCACAAATATACAGTCAATTCACTTTACAGTGTGTTCTGAGAAGCGCTTTGTGACGTCCTCCCGACGTGAAAAGCGCTATATCAAATGCAAGGATTATTATTATTATTATTATCCTTTGCTGTGGTTATCGACATGCATCTACTACAAGAATATTCCAACTATTGGCTGGCTGCCTTTCAGTCCAATAAAACAAACTAACTGGAATGAAAAAGCATGCCTGACATCACAATAGATAAAATAGCTTGATTCTCCAATTTTATTTTGGAAGGTCCAGAAACCACTCCATTTTTGTTCTTCGATTTATATAGTGTCTGAACCCATCAGTTAGCACTCATACAATGAATCCCTATAGGAAGTATCTCATAATCTAGAAAAAGAACTACCCATTTGATCTTGGGAATAAAATAAGGAACAATTTTAATTACTTTCATTAAAACCTCCTTTATCAGAGGTTCTTATAATATTCAAGAATCATTCTCTCAATTTGCAAATTGTTAAGACTGGTTTTATGAAGCAAAATAGTTTATTTGGGTAATAATCTAGCAATAAAATATTGTGACAGCATCGTTAAACAGTATTTACTGCTCTGCCTGATGAACTTCATATTTTGCAATTAATTTTATGACTAACAACAGGAGAACAAAACAAGCTTCAACAGAATCACTTTCAAAGTGAATCAAATGAATTCAAGTGAATCAAATTCGAATCACACCACATTGCAAGACTTTACAATGCTCGATTCAATGACAATTTAGGGTGGGGATAAAAAATAAAGCGGTCTTGTTCATTCCTGAAAGCTGGGCTTGAACCCAGCACATGAAAGCTGAATACTACAGTTTCTTACATGTCAAGTTTTCCTTCAGTTGAGTTCCAAGGTAAGTTTTTTCCCCAAATAACCTGATACTTAGGAGGGTATGAACGTACAAGCCCATGCAGCACAATAACACCACAGTAGTAAAAGAATAGTAGAGAAATAACACAAGTCAAAAAGAGGTTAGTCGATGCTGATTGTATTTAAAAAATAATTTGTATATTAGTTTGAAAGGATGAATCAAAGCCAGAGAAATAAGTTTTCCTGAAGTATTCCGTCAAAACACAAAAACAAGTGGGAACTGGTGATCATCTGGTAATGTTCGTGCATGTTTGCAATGCCAAATTGCTATTGATTGCAATAAAAATGAGATGAAAATGACAGTACCAGATCCACAGAGTTTGCAAGGCCCACTAAATCAGGTGGTTACCTCTGAAAGCAGCACCATCTGATAACAACATCAAATTCAGTGACAACCCCGGGCAGACATTTTCTCTGGTCGCAGCTGAGATCCAGCGGCTTCAAACATAAGTGAAAATATGACTGAAAAGCCTAAAGAGAGTATATTCTGCTCAGGGCAATCCTCGTAGATAGAAGAGTTCAAAACTCAAGTTTGGGCAAGTTTGTTTTCCCTCTAAAGCAATAATTCTAGAAGCGGGATAAATGATACCCAATGTGTGTTTTTTCTGGTCTGGTCTCGTCCTGGTGGAGCTGTCATTCAATCATTTGGACAAAAGCCTAACTTTGACATGGCTGAAATATACTGAGCTTGAGGCTCAGGATCATATGATATGAAACCACAATTTCAGCTTGAGTTTAGCCAGGAAACTCAAGGGGGGGGGGGCGGGGGGGGTGAGGGCAGTCACGGTCCTTAGACGGGGAAGGGACACTCTCCTTGGGCGGGTGGGGGGACGCACACACACTCTCCTTGGGGGACACACACGCTCTCCTTGGGCTGGGGGGAGGAGGGACACTCTCCTTGGGCGGGGGGGGGGACACTCCCCTTGGGCGGGGGGGGGGGGACACTCTCCTTGGGCGGGGGGGGGGGGGGAGACACTCTCCTTGGGCGGGGGGGGACACACTCTCCTTGGGGGGGACACACGCTCTCCTTGGGCTGGGGAGGGGAGGGACACTCTCCTTGGGCGTGGGGGGGGGGGGGGGGGGGACATTCCCTTGGGCGGGGGGGGGGGGGGAAGACACTCTCCTTGGGCGGGGGGGGGGAGACACTCTCCTTGGACGGGGGAGGAGGGACACTCCCCTCGGGCGGGGGGGAGGGGGGTGACACTCTCCTCTCTCCTTGTGCGGGGAGACACCAAGCTCCTGGGGCGGGAAGGGCGCGGGGGGAGGTATGTACGCTCGTACCTGTGCCCAGGATCACCAGCTCCTGCTCCGCCGGCAGATCCGTCGCCATCTTCGCTGTCGCTCCTGTGACATCCGGAAGTGACGCGGCGCGAAGCCCCTCCCTCCCCCCTCGCGGGGGGGGGCTGTCAATCCACGCGCATGCGTCCGTCACTGGGCGCCGGGCTCAGCTCAAGGCTGCCCTCCAACCACGTGACTCCAGCACAAGAGATGGCACAAATTTGACATCCATCCATTGTGTGCATTGGTTCTCTCTCTCTCTCTCTTCTCTCTCTTTCTCTCTCCGGCCATCTATTCCCACAGAAGAGATCTAAATACTGCATTGGACTAAATTGCACTGTACAATGTGAAACAACAAGCAAACAAACAACTAATTATGCAATCAGACACAAGCTAACCATTTCTGTGTGTATTGATTCTCTTTCTCTCTCTCTCTCTCTCTCTCTCTCCAGCCATCTATTCCCACACACAAAAAAAATCTAAATAGTGCATTGGAATAAATTGCAATATACAATGTGAAACAATACGATACCACAAGCTAATCATCTTTTATAAAAGACCCCCTCACACACACCCACACCCACACACACACACACAGGCACAGACATACAATATATCTTGATGTGAAATAAGAACAGGACGTATGAAGCTGACAATTCAACAAAATTGCACCTAATCCATGGCGATTGTGCTTCGGTTTGCAAATTACAACCCAGAGAATCATAAATAGTTGTGTCTTCAAATAGCATAGTGTTTGTCCATTTGAAATATTACCAAAGGAGAGCGACCATCCAATAAATGCCTCCCTGTGAGCTCAGAATCGTTCGCTCTTTAAAGAAAGTTAGTTTGGAATAATTTTAAGCTTCGTGTTACTTTTTTTTAGATAACTGCTCAATTACCTGAAGAGCAAAATAAAGTGAATTCAACTTTAATCATTTAAGGTCAAGAGAACCATCAACCTTGTTGTAATTTAGTGTCAAGCAACATTGATAGGCAGCTGTGAAACAACTGCAAAAACGGACTTTGATTAAATTAACTGTTGGAAATGCGTATTCAATCTTAAGAAATGATATTATCGAAGTAGTCACATACACGTGGTCCACATTTGCTATTGAAATTATTATTAGAGTTGTTATTATCAAATCTAAAACTTTTTTTTACCATTAGTTCAAGAAAACTAGTTGTAAAATTAGGATTTCCGAAATCATGATTTCCTTTAAATCTATTGCAATTCTCAGATTTCCTTGAAGGGGAGAAACGGTTAAAAAAAAAATTCAAAGGAATGCATTAAACAGAAGGGAGTAAAATTAAAATGTGAATGTCCTTCCATTTGCTAAGCAAGTTCTCAAGCTGGTCTCAGGGTGTCTACCAAATACGCCGACCTGTCAACGTGCAATTCTCTTCACCTTCTGGTTAAATGTATTAATGTATTCCTGGTTTTCAAAACAAGTCATTTTTTGGGGTGGGGGTGGGGGGAAACGATGATATTGCAGGTTAACTTTACAAGCACGAAAATTATGTGACGGGTGATTATTGCTGCACTGTCATTACGACGGTCTACACACTTAATTACTTTGCTTTGAACCCTGTGATCCGAGTTTTAAAGCTCAGTTTGCAAAGACCATCCTCGGAATCCAGTCGCCTTAAATCAAGTGAAAGTACTCTACAATTATAGATTAACACCAGCGATCTGTCAAATTATTTTAGAGGTACCATTTTCAGTAAGTGGCGATTACTCACCACACAATTGCTGAGGTTAATTTCCTTTAATACGCGTAATGTATTTTTTGTGAATGAAACGAGATCATCTGTGTTTTTTTCCCCCCCAGCACATGTGGACGTGACTGGTAGGACACCAAGACTGTCCTTATTAGCAATGCGGCAGATTATGCTCATAGTGAATTGGTTTCTGTCTCTCTAACTCGAATGGTAAAGATGTAGTGGAGACCTCTTTTGTTATTCATTCATTCAAATGTTTATGAGAACAAGTATGGGGATGTGTCCCCCCCCCACCACCTCTGTAAGAATGCAAACAGAAAATTGATCTCATATACATCTGTCAACACAATCTATTTGTTGATGTCCGCGTGTTTGTCAACAGCTTCAACATCAAACATTATTTTATAACTCTGCAAATGGAAATGACATGATATGCTGCGTTGTGATAGGGAATCTCGGGATTAGATGCGTTGTTTCAAATGTATCAAAAGAATCTAATATCACTTTGTTTCTCGCGTTAATAAAAAAAATCTACAGTATTGTTGTGCAGAATGTTCAACAACACAGCAAATTGTTTTTTTTTAAGAAAAGACTGTATTTTCTATGGATTTCTCCTACGCGCAGCTTTTTTATTGTAACTTTTAAATGTTAGATTCTGTCTTCAAAACATTTTAGCAAAGAAAAACTCAAATAATGTCTATTTCCCCTCCCCTTCGTGATTATTAAACTGTGCACAGCTGGTGCATGGATGGTAATGACCTCTAATACTAGATTCTCCGACTTTTCGGTGAGTAACGCAATTTGCTTCCTATGATTTATTCCATTCGCTTATTTCCAAACATTACCAATAATTTAGTTTCCAGTCAGAAACACGTACAACCCTTCAGAATTTCCGAGGAGGGAGACACTGTTCATAGAGCAACTTGTTTGCTGCTCAATAATCTTACAACTAACACAAACCACCTGTGCACTTGAGATTCTTCTCTAGTTTTACAGACAAGGGTGCTCTATTTTCTCCCACTGCTCTTGCATTTCTTAGCACCGTGTATGTACTTTATGGAGAGCAACTAAAGTTGTCGATAGTTGCATTACACACAAACAAAACTGGGATATGATGCTGGAAAGTTACGGAAGAAACGCTGTCATGTGGCTATCACAGATAGGAATCTGAAACAGATCATTGACCGAAATAAACTGCGTGGAGAAAGTCGCGAGGAATCCAAGAGAAAGGTTCAGTCATCACTTGTGATCAATTTTCCATTCAAACTCTCATTTGGGGATTTACGGTTATTGTTCTTATTGTGCAACTTGGAATTGTCTTTCAACCGTATACAGTGAATAAAAGGATAGATAGTGCCCATAAGCGTATACAATAGTTTGCTACTATATAAATATTATAGGTGCCTTATCTTTGAATTCCATGTGCATGACATGGATTGCCCCCACATTCCCACTCCTGTATCAACCCTCCATTTCCATAACAATGCAGTTAATGGCAACGTAACCCCCGCTATCTGCTTTTGTGTAATTGAAATGTATATATTATCCTTGAATCTTTTCTTCTATCAACCACGTGTACCGTTTCGTCTTCTATTTCTGTACAGTGTCCCAATAGTATTAATTTTACCAATGATGCGCACATACACATGTATGCACATTTATGTTTTCAAACACTGCATACAAATCTGTAGTTTTGCAGGCTGTAAAAGTGAGCATTTAGTGTGTGTATGGGTACTAGGGTAAGAGTAGCAAAGCCCAGAAAATATTCGCACACGTATCCAGCACCAGCTTATTAGAAAACATGCAAGTATTTCTGTTCCGTACATATTGAGTAATAAAAAAAGACTTTAATGAAAAAAAATCGATGGGCCAATTTATGCACGATAAGCGTTAATGCCACAATTAAAACAGTTTGCTTTCAAGTAAGTCAGGACTTCAGTATTGGAGGATTGCGCTATGTAAATTGTATCCTGCTGGAGTAAAGATGTGTATTTCTATTGAACGGGGAGGGGCGTGTTACCAAATATTTCATTTCAAACAAGGTTTACCTTGATGGTGGTATTTGCGTTTTGTGTTTTCAAGACATCTCGGTCTTACCAGTAACTCGACACTGCTCATTTTTGCAGAGAAATTAAAGTTCTCTAGTTCTATTACAAAGGGGATGGGGGGGGGATAGGAGGAATTGTGGAGGTGGAGGTGGTATCCATATTAATGTTCAAGAGGAACTTGATAAATAACATCTAAAAATGAGTAACTTGCAGGGATATGGGTAAAAGACAGTTACATGGATTGGATTGCTCCGAATGGGTTGCTCTTTCAAAGAGCCAGCACAGACAGGACGGGCCGAATGGTCTTCTGTGCTGCAAGTTTCCAATGGTTCCCCAGCCCAGAATAATTCACAACAATTAGGATTAAAATGACCTAAACGCGAGGCGGCATCTGGAGAACGCTGTGTACTCAAAACTGACACGCTTCACATTTAGTCCCTTCGGTCATCAAATGTTCTTTTTGCACTCCGTTTGATATGGATTTAAACAATCTGTTACTTAATACTAATTGTTTTATTGTGTCTGCGCCGATGTGTGTCACCACAGTGTTAGATCAAAGAAAGACTACATTGCCAATTCCTTCGGACGTAAAAAGCAAACGCAGTGCCTTGGGGGAAAAAAAAAGCTATATATCCCCCTAAATACAAGAGGAAATGAAAATCGATACCTACTTTAAATCAACAACAACGCCCCATTCATAATAAATGGATAGACGGAATGGTTCGGATGGTCCATTTCAATACCACCAAGTTTCCAAAATATCCTTCTAACTCTCCCTATGTTTTTTTAAAACAAAAAAACAAGATGCAATGAAGACATTGTATTTTGTTTGAAGGGGACGATTTGTTCACACACGACGAAAGAGACCGAGAGAGGAAGGCCACGGCATCTTACATCCATTCCCTCAATTAGCCCTGAGTGAGATGAGTGACCTTGTGGCTGTTTGGGGCATTTTTTTTATTCATTTGGCATTTCCCCCCCCCTTCAAAAAGTATGCGTTCATTTATTTTAACGCGGAGATAAATAACCGAGGTGTCGCCGGAAAGCTGTGGCAAAGAGATGGGGAGACTTCAGTAAACCCTTTTTTTTGGGGAGTGAGTGGATTTACAGCTCTAAAAAAAGAGATGTCAAAACAGCTCCTCGTCCGTTCAGTCTCAGTGAGTGATTTATCGGGTGCGCATTCACTCACTCACTCACTCACCCACCCACCCACTCACTCACTCACCCACTCACCCACCCACCGACCCACTCACTCACTCACTCACTCACTCATTGAGTCATTCACTGACTCACTCACTCAGTCACTCACTCACTAACTCATTCACTGGCTAACAAACTCACTGACTCACTGACTGACTGACTCACTCACTGACTAACTCACTCATTGACTCACTGACTCACTCATCGACTGACTCACTCACCGACTGACTCACTGACTGACTCACTCATTGACTCACTGACTCACTCAGTCACTGACTCACTCACTCATTGACTCACTGACTGACTCACTCAGTCACTCACTCACTCACTCACTCACTCACAACTCACGTACTCGAGTGAAGGGCAGGAGCGGGTCCCGCCCCCTCCCCCTCCGCCCCGCCCCCCCGCCTGCTCCCCCGCAGGCCCCGCCCTCAGCGCGCTCCGATTGGCCGAGTTGGCGTTCGAACCCCACCCCCCCCGATGGTGGGCGTCGCCGGTTGAGACGGGGGCCGCTGATTGGCTGCGGGGTGTTGGGGGGGGGGTGTGGTTGTGTGTGTGTGTGTGGGGGCGGGGCTCAGTCACTCAGGCCGGCGGAGGGACCGCGCTGGCTGGAGCCCCGAGGAGCTGATCGCCGGCTACACCTCCCCACCGCTCTCACTCACTCACTCGCTGCCTCTCTCTCTCTCTGCACAGTGCACAGCAGCGCGTACACCCCCCCCCCCCCTCCCCCCACACACACACCCCCCCCACCCCATATACACACCCCCCCCACCCCATATACACCCCCCTACACACACACACACACACACGGGACTACATGTGGACAAGTGGCCATGGCTGTGTCAGCTCCCGTTATCCCGCCGCCCCCTCTCACGCCCACCTCCCCCCCGGTGTCGGGGGGCTTGTTCCGCACCGACTCCGTGTACGGCGGCGGTGGTGGCGGCGGCGGCATCAGCCCCTCCGAGTCGCCGAGACTCGGCCACGTTAGCAACAACAACAACAGCAGCGGCGGCGGCGGCGGCGGCATCATCATCAACAGCGGCGGCGGCGGCAACAACAACAACAGCGGCGGCGGCGGCGGCAACGAGTGTAAGATGGTCGAGCTCCGCGGGGTCAAAGTGGCGTCTTTCACGGTGGACGGGCAGGAGTTGATCTGTCTGCCGCAGGTTTTCGACCTCTTCCTCAAGCACCTGGTGGGCGGCTTACACACGGTTTACACCAAGTTAAAGAGACTGGATATAACGCCCGTGGTCTGCACGGTGGAGCAGGTCCGGATCCTGCGGGGGCTGGGGGCCATCCAGCCCGGGGTCAACCGCTGCAAACTCATCTCCAGGAAAGACTTCGAAACTTTGTTCAACGACTGCACCAACGCCAGGTAACGGCGGTGTGTCTCATCGTCACCATCATCATCTTCCTCACTCACTCACCCACACACACCCCCACACACTCACCCACACACTCACTCACTCACTCACCCACACACTCACTCACCCACACACTCACTCACCCACACACCCACCCACCTACCAACACACACACACCCACACACTCACTCACTCACCCACACACTCACCCACCTACCCACACACTCACTCACCCACACACCCACTCACCCACACACTCACTCACCCACACACCCACTCACCCACACACTCACTCACCCACACACCTACTCACCCACACACTCACGCACTCACCCACACTCTCTTACCCCCCCCCCCCCTTTCCACCACCTTTTTGTTTTACACACACTTTCTTTCTCACTCTCTCTCCCCCCCCCCCCACCCCTCTCTCTCCCCCTCTCTCTTTCTTTCATTATTTGGTCACCTTCCTTCCTTCCTTTTCTCCCCCCACTCCCCATCTCACCCATTTCTGACGTTTGAGCCGCACGTTTGCCACTAAATCATTCATATTGCCTGTATGAGATTTTTTTGGGGAACGATTATGTATATATATTTATTTTGTTTTAAGAAAACCAACAAACTCCATCCATCCACCTGAAGGAGAGACAGAGAGAGAGAGAGAGACACACAGAGAGAGATCGCAGAGAAAGCTAATGCGCAGAATTAAAACCACTGATTCTCCGGCAAAAGACATCGCACTTCTCTGCAATTTCCAAACTCTTCTGCTGTTCCCAAAGTCACGTTTGCTTCCCACTCCCACCCCCCCCACACACAGCCCCCCCCCACACACACACAGCCCCCCCCCACACACACACAGCCCCCCCCCACATACACACAGCACCCCCCCCACACACACAGCCCCCCCACATACACACAGCCCCCCCCACACACGCAGCACCCCCCCCACACACACACAGCCCCCCCCACACACACAGCCCCCACCCCCCACACACAGCCCCCCCCCACACACACACACAGCCCCCCCCCACACACACACACAGCCCCCACACACACACAGCCCCCACACACACACAGCCCCCACACACACAGCCCCCCCCCACACACACACAGCCCCCCCCCACACACACACAGCCCCCCCCCCCACACACACAGCCCCCCCACACACACACAGCCCCCCCCCACACAGCCCCCCCCCCACACACACCCCCACACACACACTCCCACCCCACAAACACACACACCCCACACCCCCCCACACACACACCCCACACCCCCCCCCACACACACCCACACACAGCTCCCCCCACACACCACTCCCCCACAACCCCCCCCCCCCGCCTTTCTTTCCCACCTACACGATTTGTATTGCGCTCATCGTAGGCAAAGCCCCACAGCCCCGAACCACTCACACCCACATGAGTACACTTTCTAATTATATCTATTCGCAACCGCACAAAGAACGCACGATGTGCAGTTTATCACCCAGAAACTGAGGGGGGGGGGGGGGGTTACCCTCACTTTGTGTCGCGCACAATTTTTCTGATAAACCAACACAGTTACACACATACACAGGGGGTGTATAGGGGGTGGGGGGTGTGTGTGAATAAACTTTTGGATCGAACATATAACGCGGCCCCCAATAACCTCTGGTAATAACGCTGTAATCTGCTGTTCTCGGGCACCAACGCTGCTTTCATTTCAGAGTGATCGCTGTAGGGTTAGTGTCTGGGCGGAGGGGGTGTGGGGGTGGGCTAGTGTCTGTGGTGGGGGGGGGTTAGTGACTGTGGTGGGGGGGGGTTAGTGTCTGTGGTGGGGGGGGTTAGTGACTGTGGTGGGGGGGGTTAGTGACTGTGGTGGGGGGGGGGGTTAGTGTCTGTGGTGGGGGGGGTTAGTGACTGTGGTGGGGGGGGTTAGTGACTGTGGTGGAGGGGGTTAATGTCTGAGGTGGTGTGGGGGGTGGTTAGTGTCTGTGGTGGGGGGGGTTAGTGTCTGTGGTGGGGGGGGTTAGTGTCTGTGGTGGGGGGGGTTAGTGTCTGTGGTGGGGGGGTAGTGTCTGTGGTGGGGGGGGTAGTGTCTGTGGTGGGGGGGTAGTGTCTGTGGTGGGGGGGGTTAGTGTCTGTGGTGGGGGGGTTAGTGTCTGTGGTGGGGGGGTAGTGTCTGTGGTGGGGGGGGGTAGTGTTTGTGGTGGGGGGGGTTGGTGTTTGTGGCCGGGGGGGGGTAGTGTCTGTGGTGGGGGGGGGTTAGTGTTTGTGGTGGTGGGGGGGGGGTTAGTGTTTGTGGTGGGGGGGGTAGTGTCTGTGGTGGGGGGGTTAGTGTTTGTGGTGGTGGGGGGGGGTTAGTGTCTGTGGGGGGGGGTTAGTGTTTGTGGTCGGGGGGGGGTTAGTGTCTGTGGGGGGGGGGTTAGTGTTTGTGGTGGTGGGGGGGAGGTTAGTGTCTGTGGGGGGGGGGGGGGTTAGTGTCTGTGGGGGGGGGGGGGGTAGTATGTTTGCTGTCCTGCCTGCAGGACTCGCTGTTGTCATTTCCAATCAGGGAAACAAAAAGAAACTTTAGCGCAAAGTCTTCAAAGAGGTTTCACAATGAGCGGATGGATGGGAGAGCCACGGGAGATAGACCAGAGTCGCCCCAAACTCAGACTGGGTTCCTTCATTTATCTGGTGCACCCACTTTTCTTTTCCCTTTTTTGTTGTTGTTGTTGTTCTTGTTCCATTTTGAAATTGATCGAGAATTACATTTCCAGAGCGTCTCCTCAGACTGCAGATGTTGCAGTTTCTACAATAAATCAATGGGAGCAGATCTAAATGAATCGCCTCGGATATAGATTCTGTGCATGTTTTGATGGCTCCTGTGTTATTCTTAGCTTGTTATCCCTGACAGATATATAAATGGTAACCATGCATTGCCAGATCCGTTTCTCGGAGACTACCAACATTGTAACTGACTGATCTGTCAAACTCATTGAATTAAAACAAACTTTCCAGATCAGTAATGGTACGAGTAAAACGATCCTGTATAATTCCTCGGTTTGAAATTGATCTGCAGGTTTTATTGGATTCATTATTTATTGAAGAATTGCAAGCTAAACATAACGTTAAGCTATTTTGCACTTAGGGACTGCATTTAGGAAATTGAATGGAAATTGCATTACTGATGAACATCTGTGCAATTTTTCCACTGTTGTATTGTTATACATAGGAATAATGGCTTTGTAATATTTTCTACCACATAGCTTCCAGCACTATGTCATGTTTTTTTTTTGCAAGAATATAGTTCCAAAATATTATGACAGAGTCACAGATGGGTTATATTTATTACAGTCATGTTGAAAAAAAATGATTGTCTTGAAAATTAATTTTTTATTTGCCGCTAGCAGCAGTTTAATAGAGTACACACTTGCCTGTTTGCAGAAATATTGTTTAATCACATTAATATCACAGCCTGAGGATGAGAAGTTAATTGTACAAATGCATACAGAAATATGTATTGCTAACTTTTTATGATTAAATTATGTAAATGACCCATCTACTGTCCTTTGGAGCACTAATCATCTAATTAGGAGTGATGTCTTGAATAGATGTTTCTGAATCTGGATATGTGCAATAGGGAATGCATAAAATTGGAACTGACATTCAAAATTACAGAAAGCAACCCTCAAGAAACAGCCTGATTATATGGATGTAACAAAAAGAGAAAAAAATAAGCTCCATCAAAAAATTTTAAACACGGTCTCATGCAAAAAAATAAATGAAACCTACTCAATCTAGGCAATTTCAGGTTCTAATAATTAATTGGAGGGGTTGATGTATTTTTTTACAACAACATTTTTAAAACAAGATTTATTTTAATCGCAATTACAGAAATATTACAAGAATCTCCCAGGAATGAATACTAATTGAATGACACTGCATTGAACCAAACAAAATACACAAGAACTCTTCCCATTCTATGACTGAATTAACGAAAACAGGAAATGTTGTATAAAAGCAGAATTTGATAGCTTTTAGAATTATTAAACCTGCTCATTTTGTATCCACATTTAGCTAAAGTAGGTGAGAAATAGAGGAACAAGTTGCCAGATAATAAACCCTAATCACTCGAGATAAGACAACACAACAGTTAACAAGACTGAGCAAAAGTATATACTGTGAACTGGTTGCAATATGTTGTGTTGATTTTCGTTTGTCTACAGTAAATAGAATGTCATATGTGTCATAGGGATATAAATACAGTGAAGTTTAAAGGGAGACACGATGCCCCAAAGCATCAGTCAGTGGATTGATTTATCTTGCGTGGTATAATGACTGCAGATGTGGATCGGTTATTCTAGATGAGGAATGAATTTGATGAGGTGAGAGCGCAAGCCAAGAAGCGTGGTTTTAATTACTGATGTGGAATTTATTTCTGGACCACAATGATTTACTGCATTATTTTTCAGTTATTGGCAGATGACCTTGTTTTTTTTCACATCAGAACATTGCATTTTGATTAATCAAAAAGGACATTTTTTGAGGGCGCTACAATTTGACATATTGAAGCCAGTTGATTGCTACGGGTCAGTAAAAGGATGCTGACTGACATATTGCAATCACAACTGACTTAAGCTCCATAACACCAAAAGCAGTGTGAATTGTAGGTGGTCTTTAAATATAAAGATAAATAAGTCTCTGTAAGGATTATCGCAGGTTAACGTCTTGCAGATTTGTTTTGGGTGCTTAAATAAAATGAAATGAATTAAAGTGACGTTAAGGCGAACATGCAGAACATTTTATTGCTTTGTTTGAAGCCACAATAGCAGTAATCCATACCCCTGATGAAATTTCCAAAGCGTGGGTAGATTTCAGAACACCTGGCTTACAATTTCGGCACAGCTGATAAAATAAAGTTAAATTTTAGATTCATGTGGCGGCCTGAAGCGAGAAAAAATAACATGAGGGTTTCTTTTGTAAATACAATAGATGGAGTGGGAGATAAGGTCTCCCCTGCTCTTTAATCATTCTTTGTTAGATAAGTAACT